AAACCAGTCACAGTCATTACCACAACTGATACGCCAAGCAGTTGAGTCACTCCAGAAGCTCCAAGCCCTCTGTAGTGTACATCTCATCCCTAACCCTAGCAATCACATAGTGGTCTCTTGTTTCATATCCACCTGTGTCATTTGCATTTAGCTTTGTTCACTTAGCCCAGGGCATCTTGAGCTGTATCCTGCTGTTGCTTATATCAGTATTTATTCCTTCTTACTGTGACATTTCATGTATGGATGTCTAGTGTTTTTTTTTTTTTTTTTTTTTTTTTGGTTTTTCGAGACAGGGTTTCTCTGTGTAGCCCTGGCTATCCTGGAACTCACTCGGTAGACCAGGCTGGCCTCGAACTCAGAAATCCGCCTGCCTCTGCCTCCTAAGTGCTGGGATTAAAGGCGTGTGCAACCACCGCCTGGCAAGATGTCTAGTTTTTTAGTTTTTGTTTTACTTGGGTAAGTACTCAGTGAGATTGCTTAGTCAACATGGTAAGAATTTTAAGTATTTGTATTAGTTTTCTTGTAACTGACCAAAAACAAAAAACAATTTACGGATGATAAAAAGCTTGTTTTGGCTTGCAGTTTGAGGCGATACAGTCTCATGCCAGGGAAGGCAATGGTGGCTTTTAATCTTGTGTCCACAGTCAGAAATCAAAGCCTGTATTGCCCCTCCCCTGGTTTTATTCAGTTTGAGACCACAGCCCCTGAGATGGTTGCCACCCATGGGTCTTCCTCCTCAGCTAAACTACTCCCAAAACAGAAGACATAAGGAGGTATGTTTCCTAGGTGCTAACAACTTTGGTCAGGTTGACACTGAAGATTCACCATCACAGTGCTGAAGTGCTGTGTTGCACACCCCATGTGCGTTTGCAGTGTTGTGTGCCTTACAGTACATTAAGTGATGATTGCTCTGTCAGCAGATGACTGCCTTTTGCTTTCTTTCTCATTTAGTTATTTGAGTAGTATATAAGAGTATTCTGGTGTTCTTCCCATGGAAGTGATACGGTAATGGCTTTCATATCTTTTACCTGTCTCCCTGTCTAAGCTCTGGTCAATTGTTTTCAGTTTTGGGGTATTGTCTTAACTTTTGTCTTTGTAACTTTTAGAAAACTGGTATGATGGCAGCTTTCTGATACATGCTTTTTGGTCCTGAGATGTTCAATCACACAATACCCTCTGCTGAGTTACTAAAATAACACTAGTTCTCAGAAGTAGGATTAAGAATTATCTCCCATTGATGTTTATGAGACTTAAGGTTACAATTAAAAATGCATAACAGCTGGGAACATGGCTCAGCATGAGCTTGACTTTTACTTTGTATTTTGAAGTACAGCTTGCAGGACCCTACAACCCAGGTGGCTAGGCACACTTTGGCAATTTATCCAAGTTCAGTCTTCTTCCCTTTATTTGTACTTACTTACCTGTTGGTTCTGGGGCTGAAATAGCCTCCTGTATGCTATTAAGAGTGTGCTTTACCAGTTGTGGGCCTGGCACACTCTGGTATGATTTACTGAAGGAGGCAGAGGCAGGGGATTATGAGTTTGAGGCCAGCGTTTGAGACAACATTTAAAAGAATGTGCTCTGCCTCTGAGCTACAGTCAGTCCTAAGTTTAATATAAGGAGGCATCTCTACATACTTATTTGGTCTATGTGCTAGGATTAATTTTTGTCTTTTATATTTCTTCTTTGGCATTACTATTATCATTTGTTTGGTTTTTGAGGCAGGATTTCTCTGTGTAGCTCTGGCTGTCCTGGTACTCACTCTGTAGAGCAGGCTGGCCTTGAATTCATAGAGATCCTTGTGCCTCTGCCTAAGTGCTGAGGTTAAAGGTTTGTGCCACCACCACCATATTTATTATTCTTAACAGGATAATTGTATAACTCTAGAGCTCCCTATGTAAACTAGGCTGACCTCAAACAGTCCTTGCTTTTGCCACTCTTATTTTTGAGATGGTATTTTTCACCTAGAGCCCATCTAGATAGGCATTTGACCCATGAACTATCTTAACTCCTTGGTAGTTTTGTGAATGTGTGTCTGTGTTTTCTTTTTCAATTTTTAAACATTTATTAAGCCCTTATGAATATATTGTTCACCTTTCTTGCAGAGATGGAATTTAGAATATGTAATCACTCAGTACCCTTGGTTCCTTTTAATGTAGTGGGTGCTATGTTAAGTGCTTAGTTATTGCTCAGTCATTACGAAGGTATAAAATTGTTTGGTTCTAGGTGCTTTGTTGAGTACAGGTACTCTGTCGGGGTGTGAGGGAAGCAGCAAATTGAATACTTAGACAGTAGTCCTTTATCTTCATTCCATGATTTACAGGTCCTATGCTACTGAAACCATGGCCTCTTGGCCTTGCCTTGTATGTAGCACCACTCCCTAACATACTTGACATCTGGAGTTCTCCATTGTTTCTCTGTATGTGGAAAACAAAAAGCAATACAGTCAGTGCTATGAATAGGAAATAGTTATATTTAATGCTCACTTGGTATGTGGTAGTTCTGTATATGTGTCCATTAATGTGTTTGGAGTCATTTTTATATATAATCTATTTATTTTATTAATGTAAGTATCCAGTTCTTAAAAGAACTAAGGTTGTCGGATCTTCTGAATTTACTAGCTAACCAGCTAGTAAATTACCTTTAGTTTTCAGTTTTTAGTACTGGGCTCCAGGAAGATGCTTATAACGAGGGTGGTGCTGTAGTTTTGAACTTGTGTCTACGAGTCCCTTTCACATCCCTTTCACATTATTGGATATTTAGCACACATTCAGTTTTCAGTTTCAGAAACCTTGCTTATTTGTACTGGTTGGTTTAAAGTCATTCTCATTTAAAATTATAAAACCAGAGAGTAACTGCATTGCCTCCCAGCTCAGAGTTGAAATACGGAGAAAATGATAGGGCTGAGGATTCGCTCCATCAACCTGCAGCATTTGTTACTAACTGTTACAGTATCTGTATGCCACAGGTGGATGTTTTTCTTTGGGTCTTAAAACAAATGTTAAAGTTTGGAATTCTTGCCTATCTGTCATCTTATCTGTTTATTATGTCACATAAAGGACTTTCAGAGAAGTAGATGACAAGAGCAGGCAAGGTAAAAATAGCCCACTAATGCTGCTGTCAATCACACCCACCAAAAGAAATGATTATTTCATCTGCAAAGGGCATGTATGGATGGTAATAGTTTAAAAAGGAGAGGTTATATTCATAGAATGAATCCATTATAAACTCCTCAATTTGAATTGATGTAAGAACTGATGAAGCCTTTAAAGACTTTTGTTGCATAATTTATAAATCTGTGTGTTTAAAATTTGCTAAGTGTTAAGGTGATGAGTGTTTGGGGGATGGGACGTGGGGGGTTCCTTTTCACTAACCATATTGGAATGTTTTAAGATTAGTAAGACAGTCTTGATTGTAAAGTAACATTTTCTAAAGATTTATTTATTTACTTATTTCATGTATGTGAGTACATTGTTGCTACCTTCAGACACACCAGAAGAGGGCGTCAGATCCCATTACAGATGATTGTGAGCCACCATGTGGTTGCTGGGAATTGAACTTAGGACCTCTGGAAGAGCAGTCAGAGCTCTTAACCACTGAGCCATCTCTCCAGCCTATAAAATAATACTTTTATTGTCCTTAGAAAGATTCCTTTTCTTTTAAAAGAATATTTTGGTCTTTGCCATTTCTTATTTATGAGAACACAATGTTCTATTCTGGACGATATGTCACATTTAGTATAATGATTCTGATCGCAGTGTCACTGCTATCACTTCTATAAAATATAGGATAGTTATTTAAATCTAAAGAGTGTTCCCATGTTAGTAGCTTTCATGACACAGTTCTGTTTTCAACTTGTTTTTTATAATGGTGTATATTAACTATTTTCTTTGTACCTAAGAGTGTAAATGTTTCTGACTTTTAAGAATACAATTTGGATTTATGATTATTTGAATTCCATCTGAAATTATTCTACATTAAAAATGTTCCCTCTCCTATAATATCTTAGAGTTTTGTTGTTGGTTTTTGAGACAGGGTCTTATGTAATAAAGGCTGGTCTTGAAGTCCTGATCCCCTTGCTCCTGCCTCCCAAAGTATTGAGTTACTGGCCTGCACCACTGCATTGGTTTCTTTCTGCCCTGATTTTGAAGCCTTTGAGTTTGTATAAACAAGCCTAGTAGCAGAGGTGGGCTCTTGCCTAGCATACTTGAGTCTTCAGAGTTGGATCTATAGTTAATGCGTCCAGCAAATAAAACCAAAAATGTCAATGTCATCATGCTCATTAAAAGTATGTAAATAAAGCCAGGTTTGGAGGCACATATCTTTAACTCTAGCACTCAAGAGGCTGATGGGGGTAGGATAGAAAGTTTGAGAACAACTTAACTACTTAGCTAGTCCTTGTCTTGGAAAACCAAACCAATAAACAGTATTGTTAGAAAGTTAATAAAATAATTATTGTTTGGTGGTGTTATCATAAAATGCTTTAGGATGTCCAGGAAGGAAAATAAGTTATGAGGAGTTTAAAACTAGACAAGGCTACAAGAGACCCCTTTTTCAAAGAACCCACCAACTGGGCTTTCAAGATGCTTCAGTGGGTAAAGTGAAGGTTCAGTGGGTAAAGTGAAGGAGAGAACCTGTTCTACAAACTGACGTCCACATGCACAGGTTGGCCTGTTCACCCGTTTACAGGTCACACATATACATGGTTATAATAAGTCTAAACAACACTAACAAATCCCACAAATAGGTGGGGGTTTTTTTCATTCACAAATTAAGTGAAATATTTACAAACCTTGCATTTATTATTACCTTCTTGATTGGTTGAATGATTTCGAGTTGGTTTATTTGGGGGATCCTTTCCCCCAAATGGAAGTATTTTGCAGAAAGACTTTAGATCTCTTTGTTTCTGATGTGCATAGACCTAGAATGTTATTAGGAACATCCTTAGTGAGTTGGGGGTCAAAAACTGATGTCTTTTTGTTTTTGTTTCAATTATACAGCAGATATAATTTCTACAGTAGAGTTTAATCATTCTGGAGAATTACTAGCCACAGGAGATAAAGGTGGGAGAGTTGTCATCTTTCAACAAGAGCAGGAGGTAAGTACTGACAGTTCAGTGTCTCCTTTTCAGTTCCATCTTGAGACTGGAGGTTGTACTGGAGAAATCTAGCTTTAACCCTGAACCCTGAGTAAATATTTGTCTGCAGATAGCTTATGGTTTCTCTTAGCTCTTTGTGTGTGTGTGTATGTATGTATGTATGCCTTTGTTGCTTTTATTTGAAAACCCATTTTAATTGTAAAAACCTTCGCTTAGAGAGGAGGGTAGGAAGTGGGTAGGAAGTAGTTGATTAATCCAAGATGTAGCCAGATTTGAAGCCTTTACCCTCAGTAATAAGTTGACCTCTCAAGGCTTAGTTGTTCTGTGTAATTGAGGGTAAGGTTGACTGGAAGAAAGTCAGCCAAATTACTTTAACGATCGGTTCATACAAAAACCATTACTAGCCCTTAAAAGTTTGTGTTGTGCTTGCACCTATGTGAATGTAATTAATGCATCAACACAGTGCTAGCTTTTAAGTTTTTTTGGATACTGTTCCTTTTCCTCTTAAGAATGAAAATTTTAAATACAAAGTCTATAGTTAAGTACAGTTCAGTTTTGCTTTTCTTACAATTTATGCACACTTGTAAATCTGATTGACAGGATTTTTCATAAGAATTTTGTATGGACACAGCTTGTCATACTAGATGTTTCCAAGTTCGCTCCAGTCATTTTATGTCGAGCTGTAGCCTTTAAGACAGTTGGGTTTGAAACATCTGTCCCTTTCTGTCTGTAACAAACTCAAAGAATTTAATGTTGATAAATTGCAGGATTTTACAAATGTCTAAATCAAAACACAGGGTAAGGTTTTAAAGGATTGTAAAATTCCTTAAATAAGCAAAGAATCTAGTAATAATACGACTACTTTGCACTTCTATAGCGCCTTTGACCTGAGGATCTCAAAGTGCTTTAGAAACACTAATGAATTAATCCTCACAACACCCCAGTGAGGTAGGTAATTTAATTTTAAAAGAAATGATTAATAGTGTCTGAATAGAAGATGCACAAACACTAAATATGTCTCCTTTCATTTAATCTTTTGGTTGGAAGAAAGTAAGAAATACAAGACTCGAGCCTGACAGGGTGATCTGTGGGAAGGGAGGCTGAGCCAGGGTTTTGTTTCTGGATTTGTTTTGAACCAGAGTGTTAGATATCTCTGACTGGCCTAGAATTTACTATGTAGCCAAGGATGAACTTCTGATGCCCTTGCCTCCACTTCTGGAGTGATGGGATTATGGATCTATAGCACTATGCTGAGTTTTATTTTTACTGGGGATGGACTTTATGCATGCTAGGCCAGCATCGTGCCAACTGAGCCACATCCCCAGACCGTTTGTTTTAGTTTCAAACAGGTAGAAACTTGACCATAATTATATTTAAAAGAAAGTGAAATTGGACTTGTTTCCTTTCTTTACAAATAAAATATTAAATTAGAAGTATATAACCAACCTCTAGAACTTGTGGCATGTCTTTTCTTTCTTTTTTTATTTATTCATTCATTTATTTTCTTGCTTACTTATTTGGAGACAGTACGTCATATAGCCTAGGCCAGGGATGAATTTGGCAGAGAATTTGAATTTGAGTCTTTTGACTCTACTTTCCAAGTCCTGGGATTATGAGTATATGCCACTACAACTGGTTAGAGAGAAAGTTCAAAAGTAATTTGAATTACTGTGCTTAATCTCGAAGGCAAAAGGCAATGCATACAGGCTTTTTTGGGGGCTAGGGGGCCCGGTTCTGGGTTCTTACTGAGGTCACTGCTATTTTAAAATGAAAGTTGTCAGCTAAAAGCTAACTTGGAAATATTTTGCATGTGGATGAAGTCATTTTCACCTTCTGTAGGTGTTAATTTGTTATTAAAGTCAAATCAGATGCAAAAAGGGTGGGAATTTAGCATAAAATGGGGCAAATGATTGCTTTGATATGAGTTTAGTAGTTATCAAAGCACTCTAGAGTCTTTGTAAAAGGACTAGTGATAGTGCTTGGTAACAAAAAACTTGACAAAGGAAGTTGTTTAAACAGTGTAAGTATGTCAGAAAATAAGCCCAAAATTCATATCAGAGAGTAGTCTTGGGATGGTGAGACACCTTGGTGGCTAAAGGTCCTTCAGGCAAGCCTGATGCCCTACAGCTTGAGCCATAGGACTCAAGGTCAAAGGAGGTGCCAGACACCTACAAGTTCATCTAGCTTCCTTATGGGGGCTGTGGCACACCTCCAACAGAAAGAAACAAATGATGTTCTTTAGAAAAGAAAGTAGTTTCTTATTTTCTGAAATCTCTCCAAAGATTTTGAAATGCTATTTTAAATAAGTATTGTTTGAGGAAGAATTAGCAGAATGGGTAACTTTTTGGTATTCATGCCATGATTTTTCATGTTTTATATGCATTATTTTGAGAATCAGTATATATACAATATACTTTTAAGATATTGGTTAAGTAACAGTGATGACTTTCCCCCAAACCTGCATGTTGTTATTAATTGATGTGTTTCTGCTAATTAATCTTGCATACTATAAGCTGCATCTTAGGGAGTAACTTTGGGTCTGTCAGTGTTTGGTTATTGAGTGTGTGTGCAAGGTCTGAAGGAGTCACATCTATATTGGTGAAAGTGTGTTCCTGGAAAAGGGAAAGGAGCTAATTTTTAGGTTAAATTTCCCAAAAAGTTCCATAACAAAGGGTATATTGTTTATTTTAATAGAGAAATTGAGGCACGAAAGTAGAGATTTTTTCTGAGGTGATCATAGCCATGATGTAGTCATTTGTAATTTTTGACTTATTTGTGATTTATTAATCACAAATAAGTCAAAAATTACAGTATATCCTAAAGTAGATTACCTGTCTTCCTAATTTGGTTTTACAATTTAAAATAGCTTTTGAGAACAAAGGAAGTATCTGAAGGTTTTGTTTTTGATGATAGCAGTACAGGTTTTAGAAGTTTTTAGGGCTGCCTTTTGGTATGTAATGGCTTTTGTGGTTTGCATGGATGTTCAGTTGGGGTGAGCAGTTGCAATGACTGGTTTGCTTTTTTTTCTATTGAGACATTCTTGTCATACTGTCACTCTAGCTGATATAACTGTAGACCAGGCTGGCCTTAAACTCACAGGGATTCTCCTGCCTCTGTATTGTGAGTCCTGGGATTAAAGGTATGCACCACTATAGTTGCTGGTTTCTTTCTTTTTAACCAATATTTTTTGTTCTTTGAGATTTTCATTCTTTTTTTGTTTTGTTTGTTTTTTGTTTTTCCGAGTCAGGGTTTCTCTGTATATCTCTGTCTGTCCTGGAACTCACTCTGTAGACCAGGCTGGCCTCGAACTCAGAAATCTGCCTGCCTCTGCTTCCCAAGTGCTGGTATTAAAGGCATGTGCCACCACTTCTTGGCTGAGATTTTCATTCTTATATACATATTTTAACATTCATTTCTACCTTGCACTCTAACCCCTCCCATCTCTGTCTCCTCTCCTTCCTTCTCTTATAAGCCCACAGTCCTGTTTCTGCTGCCCGTATGTATACATGGGTGTGAGGTCATCCAGAGGACTCTGGGCAACCTACCACAGGCCACATCCTGAAAGAAAAATGACTCCTTCCTCCCCCAGCCTTCACCAGCTGCCAGTAGATCTTCAGTTAGGGATGGAACCCCAAAAGTCCCTTCTCCATCCATGCTGAAATGCTCACTGGCTTGATCCTTGTTTAAGTCTTGTGCAGGTAACCACTTCTGCTGTGAATTTACTAGTGCTACAGCCTAATCTTTTCCGGAAAAACATTTCACAGCATCCTTCTCAACTTCCAGCTGGTACATTCTTTCCACCCTTTCTGGCATGTTTATCGAGGTGAGGGTAGGGGTGGGAAGTTAATATACTTAGGGCAGAACACTCATAGTGGCTTAATTCTTAAGCTAGCCTCTCTGTATTATTAACTACTGCCCACTGCAAAAAGAAGCTTCCCTGGCCTAAGTAGAGAGTGTAACTAATCTATGGACACAAACATAAATATTTAGAAGGCAGCTTGATAGCATGAACATTTAACAAAATAACATAGTAGGACCACCTCTTCCACCTTCAGCCTATGACCTTCTTAGCCATAGGCCTCTGGCCAAGTTTACAGCTCCACTCATGAATTACTTCCTGTGGCACAAGCCTCAAATTCAACTACTAAGTAGTTGTACCTCTGTAAGAGCCATTTCACTGTGGTTAGGTGAGCATGTCTTTCTTGTAAGGTTGGTGTAGTAGGCAAGGCCCAGTGCTGGTTAAGAACATTGATACCTCTTCTTCCACCAGCAGCCTGTGTAGCCTGTCTTTCCTCTGTGGAAGCTAGCCAGTAGCGAAGTTTCTCCATTAGTTCCGGATTCCTTTTTTTGTGCTACTATTGGTCTGGTGTTTTGGTAGTAGGGTCTTTCCATCTGGTTATGGTGGATAGCCAATTTTGGGTGCTTCTGGGGCCTCCTTGACTAATGACTTGTAGGGAGGTAACCCAGTCTGTGGACTGAAATTTTCATTTCATAACCTGTATCTTCTGGGTGCAGCATCGTCCAACCAGGTGTCCTTCAAACCCATTGTTTTTAAATTTGATATAACATTTTTATATGAAAAATTATTTTTATACAAAAATATATTTTTACAAAGTTCTGGAAAGCTTTTCCTCTTGGTATTGAGTGGGGTCGCTTCCTTGATTTATTATTTTTATCAGATGCTTGTTATTGATACGTTAATTTGCCCAAAGTGTTTATCAGGTCTGAGAGCTTTCTGGTGGTTTTTTTGGATCTCAGGTATAGAATCATATCATCTGCAAATAGAAATATTTGACGTCTTCCTGTCCTGTTTGCATTCCTTTTATTTGGCAGCAGCCGCTGCCGCCTCCTCCTCCTCCTCCTCCTCCTCCTCCTCCTCCTCCTCCTCCTCCTCCTCCTTAATGTTTATGGATGGTTTGCCTGAGTGTATGCCTGTTCACCATGTGTACACATGTTGCCTGTGAAGCCCAGAAGAGGGTGTTAGATCTCTTGGAACTAGAATGAGAGCTGGGTTCTTTAGTAGCCAGTGTTCTGACCCACTTGAGCCCCTGGTTCTCTTACTGCCCTGGCTAAGAATTACATCACTGTATTGAATAGGAGTGAAGACAGGAAACACCCTTGTCTTACTCCTGGTTTTATTGTAAATGCTTTGAGGTTTTCCCCTTTTAATGTTGGTAATAAGTTTGTCTTATATACCCTTTATTTTGTTAAAGTACATTCTTTCTATTCCAGTTATCTTCAGGACTTTAACATGAAAGGATGTTGAAATTTGTCAAAAGCCCTTTCTGCATCTATTTTGATGGCCATGTGATTTCTGTCCTTTGGTCCATTTGTGTAATTCATAACATTTATTGATTTATATATGTTGAACCATCCATCTCTGCATATCCTGAATGAAGCCAGCTTGATCTGTTTATATTCTTGGATTCAGGTGGCAAGAGTTTAGGTTTGGGTTTTGTTGTTTTGTTTGCTTTTTTCTTTAAGGATTGTTTCTGTGTTCATCAAGGTAGTTGGTCTGGGATATATTGTTCTTACATCTTTGGTGTTGTTGTTAAGGTAATACTAATAAAAAGACTTTGGTAATATGTCTTTTTTTTTCTATTTTATGGAATGCTTTTGGAAAAGCATTGGTGTTCTTTGAAGGTCTAGTAATACTCTCCAGTGAATCCATGTAGCTCTAGACTTATTTTGGTTGGGAGACTTTTTTTTTTTTAAATCATCTTAACAAGAAAAGGGTATCACTGTGTATCCTGGCCATCTTTACCTACTGAAAAGTATGTGCCACAATCCCTGGCTAGTCTTAGTCTAGTTCTATTGCTGTGAAAGGACACCATGACCATGGTAGCTTGTGTAAAGGAAAATATTTAATTGGGGCTGGTTTACAGTTTCAGGGGATTAGTTCATTATTGTCATGGCGGGAAGCATGTCAACATACAGACAGATATGGT